GGGCCCGCAGCGTTTGGGAAGCGGCGGAGTTGCAGCCCCTCGCTGCACGGGGCTGTGCCCCAAGGCAGCAGCAGGGGGAGCCGCCTCCCCGGGGAAAGGGGCCCTGGAACTGCCGTAATCCGTGTTCCTTCTCGCGGCTGACACGGGGGGAACTCGGGCTGTTCATGCGCTCCTAAAAGCTTTCGTTTCAGCAGATAAACACGAACATAAAGTAGAAGAGATCAACACTAAGATTTGCTGCCAGTAAGGAAAACCGGCCAGTTTTATGGTAGCTTTACAGTTTTGTTAAGTTTTTGCTTGACATGCTTTGTTAATGCAATAGTACTTAAAATACTAAATGTGACAATACCTATTTTACAGTGCTAGCAGTCCCAGCTTTAAAATAAACACGAAGATCCTGCCCAGAACACTTGAACAATAAAGGACTAGGCACCTGGTGACAGGAGAGATTTCTGAAGAACTGGGTGTTAAAATAAGGGCCAATCCCCAAGCTGGTTGTCAGGGGACACCCAGCCAGCTCCGTTCCCTGCCCCACTGCAGAGGTCACCTCTGCTCAGTGAAAGCTCTTTCAGACCCACCCTCGCCACGCAGCCCTGACTGCTGCTCATTTGGGGTCACACCTTTGCTCAAAGCCCAGGACCTCCTTTGTGTTATTCCTGCCTCAAGAAGCCTTTCTTTGCTGTAGTGCATTAGAATTTCTCAAAGCTGTGTATCTCTGCAAAGTAAACTATTTATCTTCCATTTTCCTGCTCAGAGGGCTGCAGGGCAGACCATTTTTTTCCAAGTTCAAGTGCCTGTGTTGATTCTCCCTAATCTGTGCTATGCCTCCAAAATACGTGGAAAACTTTCAGCTTCTCTGATGCTTCCCAGAGAACTGATTGTGGCACTTCTGAAACAGAGCCAGGCATCTTCCCAACCCCTGACTCCCACCCTTGTTTATTAAATCACATGCCTTTCAGTTCTTCCTCTTCAAGGTGAATTATATTGTGGACTTTGCTGGTTCCATACAACACTGCTGATAAAAACATCTGTCATGCATTCTGGATTTAGAATATTTGTTAATAACCTTGCTCAGCAAGAGGTGCAGTTCAAAGCCATGTGATGTCTGGAGGGTTAGGCTGCTGATTCCCGAGCCGTGTAGGAGACAAACTGGAAAGATTTAACTTCAGCGGTCAGGAAGAGAGCATGTGGTTAGAGAATACAAGAACAGAATCTGTTTTAGCAGACTTAATGCCAAAACACCCTACCAGGATTTAATGGTCCAGGCAGCAGGAAGAAGGCTACTCTCTGCATGAAACTCATTTCAGGAGACTAACAGCCACTTGATACTCAGAAGTGAGCCTCAATGTAGAGTGAGTTAGGCATCATTTCCTTCAAGGCATCTGGGAAGATTTTGGACATTGCATTGTTTTATGAGTATGTACATATGTATTGTCTATCTAACATAAATTTGCTAAATAAAATTTGAAAACTGTTTACAAGCCAGAGGTTTTTACAAAATTCCCTGTGAAGGCAAAGAAAATGTAACACTCATAGTTTCCAGGAGGTCAGTCAGCTTTTTGGAGCTGTGACTGGCTTCAGGTTTTTTTCCCCTTCTGTCCTCATTGATCAAGCCCTCTCCAGGCAGTAGGTCCTTACTGCTGAGCAGGGGCCTCTCCCTGGAAGTTTCATTTGCTCTCATCCCATTCTCCTCCTGATCCTTGCTCAGGGATCTGGGTCCTCAGGACAAGCCCCTTCTGGAGCTGGCAGGACAGCCCAGCCTCTGTGAGAGCTGTGGGACTCTACACCACAGTTCCTTAGGGAGGAGGAAGAAGAAAGCTGCCAGGCAGAGAGAAGGGAAGGAGTTTGATTTAGCTACAGATTGAGGGCCCTTTCCAAACTCAGCAGATACCAGCAGAAATCAATGGCGTGTTTCAGCTACTAAGTCACAGCAATAAACCTACAGGTAATGAATTTTTGGGGGTGCAGTTGTTGACAGCATCAGAATGTCTGGGCTTTAGGATGCAGGAGATGGAGACCAATGTTTTTTAAGCAGTATGTACTTAGAGTGGGGACTGAATCTGTACATTCAACTGTAAAGTCTCTACTTGATGAAGTAATATCCTACAGCTAAGTTATGCTCAGAACACTCCTTGTTAAATTACCATGACTTTGTTTTTTTCAGGTTTGATAGTCTATGAGAAACTTCTTAATGTGGCAAGTGGGTGTGGCTTGTCTATATTCTCTAACTTTTTAATCATTGCCATTTAGAAACAAATTCAAGTAAATTGGTACCAACTCTCTCCTGTAGACATGGGTACCATGTAAATGAACTAGTTTAAAATATAAATTGCATCACATCAAATGTATTCACATTAGGCAAGCACTGAATTAAATACATTAGTATAAAAATCCAACTTTTAGCTGGTGTTGAAAAATCAGTATAAAGGCTGTATTTAGATCCTTTGTCGCTACTTCTCTGGCAAGGAGAATAATAGATTATGGTTTGCTTAAAGTCCTATTATACTAGCAAAATACAGTTTGAAAGTGATCTAATTATTTTGCCACAGCTTATTAATGAATTCCTACTCTGTTAAATTATCTTGGGTTTCTTAAAAAGCTAAAAGAACTTGGAACAACTGACTCCTGGACTGCCAGGAGATGGCACTGATGGCCCACGAGCCCTCACACACACATGCATGGAGCCTGGAGTAACTGCACTGTCTCCCCAGCTCTTGAATCCTGATATTGCAGCCTGCTGGCATTAGAGCCCAAGGGTGCAAGCAGAGAGTAGCCCCACGTGCACTATTTGTAACACACACCAGGAAGGCTTTAGACATAAAACATGCAGTTATCTGTCATGTTACCCCAAAGCAATGTCTGGAGTGCAGTCACCTCTCCTGAGACTGTGGGGAGAAAAGACACAAGAGCTTTGTGAATAATTTTACCATAACGGGAATGCCATAAACCTTTGTAGTTTCACCTTTTGTAAGTTACAGTAAATTCAGGAACTACAGAGAAACATACTCTACTATGTTAATATCTGTTCTGTTACCTTGGGCAGCAATAAAATTAATCATGACCACTCACAGGCAGTATCTCCTCTCTACACGTTATTCTTAGATGTAGAGTCTGAAATTATAATTTGTTTTTAAGGAGTCAAGATTTCCCCTAACAGAATTAAAGGTTTCAGTGCTAGAGTCTACAATTGGCTTTACTTCTAGATATGTAATAAGCTTGGAAATAAAAAGACAGCATGAAACAATATTAAGTACATATACTTTCAGTTCCAAAACAAGAAGAACAAACTACACAGGGCACGGTACAACCGACACTTTATTCCTTTGTGATGGAGATATATAGTATTGAAACTGCAAGAGTCACCCAAAAAAAAAAAAAAATTAAAAAAATCAAAGTGCAAACCTCTATTAGAACTGATTATGGAATGTACTGATGTTTTTGGCACAAAAAGTGGGGAAATATATACTGCAACAAGATTTTAAGTTTAATGAATGTAACGCTTCCGTGCTCAGTAGTCACATTTGTGCACTGCAGAACAATACAATGTAAAACAGTGACTAACACGATTCACATACAACTCTATACAATTTACATCACACATCCAGTTAAAACTTCTCTGAAAATACATGAGGTCCACTGATACTTTGTTCACAACCACTTAACAAATACCATTCTTTAAGCAGGCTTATCTTTTCAGCTTCCTTATTGATAAAAGCAAAAATAGACAATCTTAAATAGTAAGTTATTTTCCTCCAATGGTTCCATGTGGATGTTGATGTTTTCTATTAATTTGTCTCTGACTTCACTGATTAAACATACATGAAGCTGAACAAAATCAAAAGCTCATTGCTTCCATATTTTCCAATTTGCTGTGAACAAACAGCATTCTGTATACTGTCTTTTTGTTTTCAAACCTGGACATAGTGGTGCCTATGAGCTCTATTCCTATCACATGGAAATCACCAAAAAAAATCAGAGCATAGCTTCACAAAGTGGCATGTATTGAAAACTGACTATTAACATGGTAAACACAAAAATACATAAATGGAAGAATTCAAGTTTGTTTCATAAGGTACAGTATGCATTCACATTTTCATTACAGAGAGAGAGACACTGTATTCACATCCTGTTGAAGAAAGAAACCCACATATCACAGATCTCCCTAAACTCTTAGCAAAGATAATATCCATGAAATATCTATAATGCACATTCTGTCTCTTTCATTTCAACTGAGCTAAACTGATTGCTGAAAGGAAAAATCATTTGATGAATAATTCAAGCCACATTGCTGAGCTATTACCACAAGAACTTCTGTATGGGTCTGCTCTGTCATACAGCCTGACAGTTGTTATCAAGAGTTTTATGTGGGCAATTATCAGTGGCTCAGTGTCTCATCTCCTTTTTTGGTTTGAGATTTGATTTTATTATTTATATTAATCAAGAATGATGATTTATATCAGGCATCTGAGAAATGTTCTGGTGACAAAATGCACCGGACATGCATTAGATGCACATGTGTCACTGCAGAAATGTCCTCACAAATGAATTGTTTGGGCAACAGAAAAATAAACAGCAAACAGCAAGAACAAGAAACATTTGGCATGATTTTAGTTCTTAGTACCACACTGCAAATACATAAACTGAAGTGCTCATAATATTTTTCTCTCTAATGCCAGAATAAAGATTAGCAGGAGAAGCTGTGAGGTGAAGGTGATCCCACTAACCAGCTTAGGTAACTTTTGGCAGCAGACTAAGATGTAATTTTGAGCATCTATGTTAAGAGGCTGTGATTCCTACGGAGGCCAAGAGAGAGAGAGAGCAGGTGTGGTTTTAAAGCACCTAAATTTTGTGCCAGAAGTTAGACAGTTTGAATACAACAATTGAAGGAATTCAGGTCCCTCAGCCACTCCCTTGCCTTCTGTACACCAAAGTGCAGCCCTGAAGCCAAGGAAAACTAAATGGCAAGAGATGAAAACCCAACCTCTCTGTCTATATACAGCTGTTTCTCAGCTCTGAAATCCCGACTCATCCTCTCCCTCCCCTAGGGAGCCAGGGGATTTCATTGTCACCCATTCTAAGGCTTTCAAGGACACAAGGTAACAGCAGTGTCATCGGAAATGGTTCTCTTTTTTCTGGAGAAATCTTAAAAAGAGGAGTCACCCAGGAGGCCAGTTACTCTCTGGATCTACAGCTCCTGCTGTCATCCTTTCAGCTCAAAGAAAGTTGCTCAGACTCAAAGCAGACCCTCTCAGTTTTTCCTCTCTCCTGGCACCTACTCAAAGAGGGAGTGAGTTTAGGACAGTCCATCATGGCTTGGGATACTGTGAACAGTGAAGAAGGAGAAGTGAAGAAAAAGACTCAAGAAAGAACTGAGACAACAGAAGTCAAAAGTTACTTGGGATTAAGAGAGAAAAGAGCTTTATCATGCCTTGATGAGCAAACTAGAAATGAGAGTCTAAGGAGACAGGTGACAGGTGAAGGAGGGTGGAAGAAGCCAAAAACCAACACTATAGAAATATTTAACAATAAATAAAATAGAAGTCCTACAACCTAACTCTCCCAGTGTAGCTGGATGCTCTGGCCCCCTAGCAAGAGGAGGGAAGAGGACTGAAGGACATGGATGGGGGCCAGGCCCCAGGAGGTACACAGACAAGTTGGGATGGGAGGACTGTTTCAGCTTTGACAGCTCCCACGGCTGCACAGGTTTTTAACAGAGTACAGCTTGCCTTTAGGAGCTTACAGCTCAATACTGCAGGGCAACTTTTGAGCACAAAATCTCTGTTTAATGTCAAGTTATTTTGAAATGCGTGATACTTTATCAAATATTTAAAAAGCACCAAGGGAAGGCAGAAAAAGATTCCCCACTGCAACATTTACATCTTTAGAGCCTGATCACCTGGCTCAGGTTTAAATAATGATGCATAGGAATGGAAGAGACAAAGGGGAAACATTAGGATAACCCTTTGGGACAGAAGAGTCATAAACAGAAAAACCCCGCACTTGCTATTTGGCTGGCTGAAGAAGTTCCTTTGGGACGCATTCTTTTCACATACAATACATTTGCTCATCACTGCTCTCTTCTCCACGATACCTCGTGCCATCACAACAAACAGTGCACCCATGAAGCATCAGGGGTACTCTGGTAGCTGCCAGGAGGTTTTCCTCTCATTTCTGCTGAGATGCAGTGTGAAATATGCCAGAGAGAACCTACGGGTATGAGTACTTGTGTTTCCTCACTTATGACTGCACAAAACAGCACACAGGTTTCCAAAGGATATCCTGGTGGGCATTTGGTTAATACTGTTTGCTTTCCTGCAGACCACATTGCCCAAGCCCCCTCACTCACTTCCTACTGTACCTCAGCAACATGCCACAAGTGATTCAGGAGAGGTGGAGGAAATGTCTAGGAAGCTGATAACATGTTCAGACTATTTGTCAGTCTCTGGAGAGTTCCCACTACTGCCTCTGTTTAGGAATTGCTCCCATCCTTAGTTTACAAATGATTTAACAAGAAGCATGTGAATACAATTGGTGTGTGCTTCACTTTGCAGTAGGGGAAAAAACCCAAAACTATGACTCAGTGGGTAAACATGTTGAGGAATTTGCTACAAAAATTATATTTGCCTTAACTGAATACCACAGTGAATATTCATGCCACTAAAAAAATATAAGATGGTTATTGTTCCAAGGAAAACTGTCCCAAGGGCAGATAAAGAAAAAATGACAATCTTCCAGGAAAAAATAGCTTCCCTTATTCATGGGCATAATCTAGGAATAGCTGTCCTTCAACTCCTCCTATCACCCTTTTCTTTTGAATTTTGCTAGTAAGTGGCCTCCAAAAGAACAGAAAACAGAAAGGAGAAAAAAAGATTAAGATGTAAACAAAGAGATTTAACTCCCCCATCCTTGAGATTTCTTTTGCATCTCTGTATTTGTGAATTTTTGTGGTCCAGAGGCTTCCTAGGATCTGGCCTTTTTAAAAACTCCACTCCCATTCTCACCACATTGAAAGTCATGGTCTTAGCAGGAGACTTGGACCTGAATTTGCAGGAGACAACTTGTGTGGCTGCACTACTCTCTTCTTCTGTCATTCAACTTTCCCAGGCAGTCATTGAACACTCCCATCAGAAGAAGCTTTTCCAAAGCTGGTACCTGATGTCTGAAACGGATTCCAGCCACAACTCTGCCCAGCAGCAGCACTGTGATGTGGCCAGGGCAGTGAGCCTAATCCACTGCCTACTGTTCCAGCTAGTGTATGGAAAGCTTCCCTACTACAAAAGGTACTTGGTTCATGAACCCACTGAGTTTTCCTCAGTCCCCCTAATACTTTACACCATTGAAAGCAGAAGACTGAGGAAGGAAAAAAACACGTAGAGCAAGGGAGCAAGAGAAGACAGAAGAGAACAGTGTAAAGACAACAGAGGTGCTTGAAAGATTGAGAATTAGCTGGGTTTCATAAAATTTTCACACAGATATGTTAAATCACTAAAGCTAAGGGTTAGCCATTATAATTGTCTTCCGCTAGCCCATGGGACTAACTTTCTTCGGAGTTATGTGCTCCCAACAAACCCTACATCCACCTTAAATACCATCTGCAAGGACATAATAAAAATTCACAATGCAAAAAATTTGTAAACAAGGGTTAGTAGCACAGTGGTACAGTAGATTGTCAATAAAAACAATAAAAGTGTGGATACAGATTCGTCTACCTTGTGTGTAACATTATTGCCAGTTACAAGGGAGGGACTCTGTAAACTCATAATTCTGAAGCTTTGTTAATAAGCACAGAGCAACAGGTGAGTGACCCATCTACTTTCTCCAGTTCTGTGTTGGCTATTGGGATCAGCATGTGGTCCTTCAGCTTTTCAAATACCTGTTCAGGAAAGAAAATGTAAGGGAAAATCATTACACTGTGAATCTTTGTTTTCCCTTTACTCTAAGTATTTACAGGACGAACAGACACGGATTTGTCAGCAGGGGCCATCCCATCCCTGTTAACCAGCAGGAACATTCCCCGTGCACGCGGCCTGCTGGCTCTGGGACTCCCACACATCCCACTGCAGCAAGGGAGCTGCTGGAGGCCTCGCTGGCAGCCCGGAGCAGCTCTCACCTTGGCGCTCTCCGGGTACTCCTCGGGGGCTCGGTGCAGCAGGACGTGCCCTTTGCTGGGAATGTTTAAGTAGATGCAGTTTGCTGCGGCATCGTCAGGCACTGTCAGCTTGTCGTAGCGGTGGTCGCTCATCTGTTGCATGGTCTGCCAGGAGACAAAGTGCAGCTATTCAGATCAAACACATTAGCAGTCCCGAAGTAATGGGAGAACAGAATCCTCAGAAATAGCTAATTGTGATTGCCAAGGCAGTCAAGGGCCATTTTGCTACGCAGCAAGTACAGATAGCTCCTTTTATCTCTGCCTTTATGGAAGAATCTACTGAACCTAATGGAAAGGAGCAGTAGAAAACGTTGTTGCAATGGTTCTTGCAAGCAGCAGGATTAAGCATCCTCTGTGGGGTCTTTTCCTCAAGGATTGCGCAGAGTACGCAAAACTGCTCCTGATACACTGAGACTATAGGCGCTCAGCACCTATAAAAAAAGCAACCATTGTTCAATATTTATATAATGAGTATGAATTAAACCAAACAGGACAGGAATGGCTCCTAGCTTGGATATCAGCCCAATCTTAATTCTTTTCAAGGACCTCCGTTCTGCCCTGCAAGCAGTTACTCTTTCACTAAGCACCTGTGCTGGGGAGCGAGCAGGCACGTCTGCGCTAATCCTCGTTCCCAAGGGGACAACACAATACCCGCCTTGCAACACAAGAGCTGCTGGGTTTCAGAGGTTTGGGTTATAAATATCAGGCTCATACACAAATGTAGACCCTGGCTGGCTGAAATTTCAGAGACAGAGACTCTCAGGACACAACAAGCATGCAATGCCATGTTTTGGATCATATCTGTTTTAGTAAGGATGGGAAAAGCCTGAAGACAAGATGCCTGACTCCCAGTTGTAGCATTCCAGCTTTACATCAGCTTCAGCCTCACAGAGACCAAGAATAATGCAGAACTGAACAAGGCTCAAAGTCCAAAACTTTGGTCCCACTGAAAACCTAAAGAAATGCAAGTGTTTCCATTTCTCCCCCAGCCCACCTGTGTTCCCACATACATTGCAAAGATGCAAACAGAAAGAAAAGGCTTTTTATTTTTTTTTTTTAGCTTAAAATATTCACACTAATACTATCTTTAGAAAAAAATGGTCCTTTGTTAACAAGATTTTTCAACTAAATTCCCTTCTCAGGGAGAGCCTAGAGATTTACATCACATAGCAGAAAGCAGACTTCAATTTTAGGCATAGTTAACTTTGTCATTAAGTTGCTTCCAAGGTCATTCATCTGTACTACTTCTCATTCATTAAAGAAATACTACATGTAGCTGATTTATAACAGGGTCTATAACGTAGTGGGAAGCAACAAAGAACTCATGCTTGCCCACACCTACAGTAACTAAATCCTTTATAGGTCTACATTTTTCATGTTCTAGCCTGAGTCATCCACATCCCGTGGAGAACATGAAACTCACAACAAAGAATGCCATGCATTCTTGAGGAAGTGTTATCAGATTGTCATTTCTTGTTCCTTCTCATGTTATGAAACTCTCCCAAGTTCCCAAGGACACATCTACCTCCATAAAAGGTTAATGTGTTTTTCTGAGGAAAAATCCTTGCACCTTTACTTCACCAGATGTAATTTTGTATTTTTGTATGCTTAGCACAGTTAATTTAATTTTTTTTTATATAATTCTGTTTCTGTTACGTTGCCAAGATTATTTTTATTCTGCTTTCCTTGATGCTGCAGACAACCTGCACCTCATGTGGCTCTTCTACCTGGTAACCAGTCAGCAGACATGTCCTCTACCTGCAGCTTCCATTTTCCTTCCTATACAATGTTTTTAAGCCTTGACTAAGGAAACATTTCTTAAATCTGAACTAAAATATATGCATCAGTAGAAGAAAAAACACTATGTCTGGATTTTACAAAGTTCCTGAACAGTTCTTTCTCTACTCCTTATTGGAAATAGAATTCTGATATTGCAGGTTTTCTGTAGGAACACCAGAAATACATTGTGAACCACTCTGAAACGCTTCCATATGAAATTATGAAAGAATTCTTAAGCAGAAGGGTAAAGACAAGTCTCCCATTCATTTGCTTCTGCAAAATGCTTAAGTGGGAACTACAGCAGCAAGCAGAAATAAAGGACAAGTGGCAGGGCTCTAGTGCCTCAAGGACTGGCTTTGGGGAGCATGAGAGATGATGCCAAGGGCATGTTAAGAGGATT